AACCAATTAATATCTGAATTAATATTAAAATATTTTAACCAAAAATTAATCAGATCAGTGATTTGTTTCAGAGCATCTATGTGCCAAGTTTCTTTCATAAAATCCATTATGTAGTTCTTGAGATAATGGTGGAACAGACATAAATAAACATACACACTAATTCTAAAGACTTCCTTTGTTTACTTTGCACACAGTACCTCTAGTCGGAAACAGGTCACCATTTAAGCTCCTACTTGCTATTTCAAAGTCTGCATGTACTCGTGCATAATTGCTTAATATAGGCTAATGTTTTGGACCTTGCAACAATTGTTTATAATTAAGGGATGACAGTTAGTCTTCATCCATGTGTGTTTTGTTTAAATGAACAAATTTGTTACCCTAGTATGTACATGTTGTGACATGTATCCCATTAGAACAAGCCAGTAGGCTGATTGGTGAGCCGCTCCACTCAAAAAACCTGTTTTCGACTGTTGCAATGGTGGGACATGAATGTGAAGCTAACGTCAGTTTATAATTGACACCTGCATAGCGTATTTTGCTGTTATATTTATTATTTCTGACCATTTCGCGATAGTATTTTCTAGATTTTTTGAACGCAGGTTTTACAGTTTATTCAAAGTGCAAAGTTGCGTTGGGATTACGTTGATATAAGGTAACAATTTATCTTTTGTTGGTGTTCAACTTAGCCAAAATAAAAAGCATGATCATTTAAACACTGCTATTATGAGACTGGTAGGAGGCAATATATTTGGACTGAATGCAACGAGAGTGACGATATGACCAGTCTGCTAAGAATTTTTAAAATCAGTTACTGGTGAAAGCATGGTCATTTGAACACTGCTAATACAAGACTTATAGCAGGTAAAGTTTCAAAACTATTTTGGACAATTGACATGGTAACAGTGAGCTTGGAATTTTTTCAGATTTTACCACCTAACTCAAGTGAAAGTGTGATCTGCCTGCCAAGTTTGAGCAAAATCAACCCAGTCAAGCAGATTCTAGATTCTATGATTAAACTATGATTATGTTTACAGTTCATTCAAAGTTGTGTTAGGACTTGCGTTGAGCAAGTTTGAGCAAAATCAACCAAGTCAAAAAAATCACAGACGAATTAATACATGAAGACACTGGAAATCACCACAGACAGACAGACAGACTGACAGAGAGACGGGCAATCCTAGTAGAGTGGATCGCCAACACATAAATGCTCAATGAGACACGACTTGCCTTTCAACTGGGACTCTGTTCTACCCTTCTGTGCTGCAGCAGATTTTGGAGTCTTCGGCCTGGCTCCGCCCTTCTTCTCAACTGGAAAGTTATTGAACATATTGAAACAATTGAAGACTTGCTCTACAGAAATAATTATTGTCACTAATTTGATGATTATACTTAGCAGTAGGCATGATCACCTTCTTATTTTGTGTCAGTTTATTTAAGCCGAGTTCAAATTCTAACTACTGTAAAATCTGTATTAGAAACTGCAGCTTCTATTGAAATGGTACAATGCAACAGAGGGAATGTGTGGCTTTGATTAGACCAACTACGCATACAAGAAATGGTGATTTTTTGGCTCCCAATTATTCAAAAAGAATGGATGCGACTTCTATTAGAGATGCGGCTTCTAATAGCGATTTTACAGTACTGAGCACGTTACTTCAGATATACGCAATGCATTATGGGAGATGATGATAACACTGAGTTGCTCTTTGATCTTTTAAATAACTGCTGTCTAACTTCAAACAGTATTTGTATTGTTGGAGATTTTAATTTTCCAACCATCTGCTGGGATAGTTGGACTACATCAAGAAGTGAGAATCATATATCCTTTCAGTTTATTGAATGTGTTCAGGATAATTATTTACAGCAATTATTATCAAAACCTACCCGTTATAGGGATGGGCAGACTCCTAGGTTACTGGACTTGTTGTTTATAGATAATGAGCATAATGCTGAGAATATTATATATGGTAATCCCATTGGACTTAGTGATCATGTTTCTATAATGTTTGAATTGAAGTATTCTTATTTCATGAATAAGAATAATGCTGTTCATTATAATTTTTATCGGGGTAGATATAATGAAGCTAGAGTTATACTCGGAAGTGTTGACTGGAGTATTTTGGAGACCCTGATATTAATAATGGATGGAATATGTTTGATGAGAAGATGAAAATTGCATTCAACTTGTGATCCCATTGCTAAGTCTGGTGGTAGGAAAAAACCTTTATGGATGGATAATAAGGCACTGAGGGCTGTTAGA